CCTGGAAATAACAGAATAGAAGAGAAAGAACCAGAGAAAATCACAAAATACAAAGACCTGCAAATAGAAATAGAACAACTGTGCCAAAAGAAAGCAAAGATAGTAGCAATCGTAATAGAAAAACATTTCCATGCATACTATAAATCAATCAGAATAGAGCTGGAAGGGACCTTGGAGATCTTCTAGACCAAGCCCCTGCTCAAGCAGACCTATACGACTGGATAGGTGGCTATCCAGTCTTTTCTTAAAAACCTCCAGTGATGAAACACCTACAACCTCTGAAGGCAAGCTGTTCCACTGGTTAATTGTTTGCACAGTTAGGAAGTTTCTCTTAATTCCAGGTTGCTTTCTCTCCTTGATTACTTTCTATCCATTGTTTCTTGCCTTGCCCTCTGGTGCTTTGGAAAATAAGTTGACCCCTTTTTCTTTGTGGCAGCCTTTCAAATACTTGAATATTGCTATCATGTCATCCCTAGTCCTTCTTTTCTTTAGACTGGTCATATCCAATTCCTTTAACCATTCTTTATATGCTTTTTGTCTCCAGGCCTTTAATCATCTTAGTTGCTCTTCTTTGCACTTTTTTTTTTAAAGTCTCAACATCTTTTTTATAATGTGGTGACCAAAACTGGATGCAGTATTCCAGGTGTGGTCTTACTAAGGATTTATAAAATGGTAGTAATACTTCACACAATTTTGATTTTATGCTTCTGTTTATACAACCAAGGATTGCATTAGCTTTTTTGGCTGCCACCGCACACTGCTAGCTCATGTTTAAGAGATTGTCCACTAGGACTCCAAGGTCCCTCTCACAGTTACTACTATTGAGCAAGGTACCCCCTATACTATACCTGTACATTTGGTTTTTCTTGCCTAAATGTAGGACCTTACTTTTTTCACCATTGAATTTCATTTTGTTAGATAGCGCCCAGTGTTCAAGTCTGTCCAGATCCTCCTGTATCTTAAGCCTGTCTTCTGGAGTGTTGGCTATTCCTGCCAGCTTGGTGTTGTCTGCAAATTTGATGAGTTCCCCATCTATCCAAATCATTGATGAAGATGTTGAAGAGTACTGGGCCCAGAACAGAGCCTGGGGCACCCCACAACACACTTCCCTCCATGTAGATGCAGTTCCATTGAGGACCACACTGCAGTTCCATTGAGGACCACACATACAGTATATAATCCTACTCTGGCTAAACCAATACTTTAAAAGATTCCCATGACCACTATGCTTGCTCCATTTTAAGGATTTATATGTAGAATGGAATTGTAATATTGCAGCTACCTATCCCGCTCACAGTTACTGTTTTTAAGCCAGGTTTCATATAATCTGTACTTATACCCTTGGTTTTTCCTACCTAGATGTAAAACCTTGCTTTTCTTCACATTAAATTTCACGTTGTTGGATAGAGCCCATTGCTCAAGTCTGTCAAGATCTTTTTAGATCCTGAGCTTGTCTTCTGGGGTGCTGGCTATTCCTGCCAGCTTAGTGTCATCTGCAAATGTGATGAGTTACCCTTCTATTCCCTCATCTATGTCATTTATGAAGATATTGAAAAGTACTGGGCCTAAGACAGAACTTGTGGTACCTCACTGCTTACTTCCCTCCATGTAGATGTAGTACCACTAAGGAATACTCACTGAGTATGGTTTGTCAGCCAGTTACAAATCCATCTGGTGGCGATGCTGTCTATTCCACATTTTTCTAGTTCACGAAGTAGATTGTGGTCTACTTCGTCAAATGCCTTGCTGAAGTCTAAGTACACTGTGTCCACAGCATTTCACTGGTCTACTAATTTAGTCACTCTGTCAAACAATGAAATAAGATTGGCTTGGCATAATCTGTTTTTAACAAATCCCTGCTGACTACTAATTATAACTTTGTTTCTAAATGTTCACAAATCTATTTTTTGATTATCTTTTCCCAGTATTTTCTCAGGTATTGATGTTAGGCTGATCGATCTGTAGTTTCCTGGGGCTGTTTTTTTCCCCCTTTTTTTGAAGATGGGAACCATATCAGTTCTTTTCCAATCCTCTGGCAGTTTCCTGGTGTTCTAGGATTTTTTAAAAATATGTTACAATGGTTCTGAGATAACATCTGCCAGCTCCTTCAGAACTCTGGGATGTAATCCATCATACTAATTAATGTGTCATTTTAAATTTCTGATTCAATGATTTCCTCTGAATTTTAAAGTAACCTCCAGTCTTGCAGTGGGAGCTACACACACACACACACATTCATATATATCNTATATATCACTGTACACAATTTGCAACATATGCTGTAATTATAAACTCTATTCATTCTGCAATTTTATAACCTCTTTCTCCTTCCCAACACATATTGACAGCCTTTGAAAATAGAAGTAATTCTTGCAAAATTCCAGCAGAACCTTATCAGTGGAAAACAAATGTCTCTAGTTTTTCACCTAATAACTTGCTGTTGTCATGGACGGGTTACAAATGAATTTAAATAGAATTACAATTGTGGAGTCCTTTGTGTTCTCTGAGCTTGGTTGTTTGCTTGCAGGCATTTCGTTATTGTTGTGATACAAAACTATTTCAATAACAGTTGTCTACATAAGGCTGCATGTACCCTTGTCCAATATTGTCAAAGACCTTCTACACACAATATTGCTAGGTTCCAAGTTCCAGAAATCTCTGGGATCAGGCGTGGGGGGCAGAGATTAGCTGTGAGAACTGGGAACCAATAATAAAAAAATTCAATATGCAATCCAAATAGTATAATATCCAGCTATTTGAGGCAGTCTGGTGTAGTGGTTAAAGGTGCTGGATTAGGAACAGGGACACCAGAGTTTTATTCTTCCTATAACACAAAGGCCATTGGATGACTTGGAAATAATCTCTTTCTCTCATCCCTAAGAAGATATTGGTGAACCATTCTGAAAATATTGCCAAGAAAACCTGTCTATCTAAAATCCAGGAGTCAGGCTAACTCAAAGGACTATTAGAACAACAAAGATATAGTATTGTGCTAGAATGCTGATTTGCTTGGAATCAGTTAAAAAAACAAATAAATATCAATAAATCAATTTTAAAATTAGATTAAAGCCCCACACAGAAAATGGATATTGTAAATTCACTTGCTTCAAGGGTCTGAAACAATTTGGTCTGTAGGTATCTTAATTTTCTGAATAATCAGTCAAAAGAGAGTAAGGCATGTATGTTTCGTGAAATAAACACAAGTTTTACTGCTTTCTGTTTGTGACACCCTCCAGTCTGGCAATCTGAGACAGGCATTGAAGAACTTCCTTGTAACTTAATTAATTGTACCTTCCACTCTTGGGATTTTCTGCTCCACAACATAAATTTGAATAGCCGAGAGTCAGTTGTCATAAAAATATAACAGGCTTCAGCAAGAGAGCATCTTGTCCTTGTCAGGAAGATGACATGGTAAAGGCAAGTATGGACTTTTTCTTACACTACTGCCAAATTGTGTTTGTGTCAGAGTTTGAAAGATAGGAAAGCAGGATATCTGAACTGCTACTGTGTAGAGCGTACACAAGGGGCATACAGTTCTGACAAAAAAGCAGAATTTCTAAAGGAGCTTACTAGAATATCCTATTAAACAAACATTGTGCATTCATTTGATGTTAACAATATCATTTCACAATTTATGGGCTTTCTGTGGCTACATTAAAATTTTAAACTAAAAGAAAATATAGCCGAGTGTCAAAAACTCACTAAAAATGTTCAGAGAACCAATGATTTGAGTAGACAGTAAAATGATAGAGCTATTGGAATTTAGGGTCACAGAGTTCTAAAATGTATTTTTGTTTTTAGAAATCACATATGTCTCATTCTATCCTGAGAAAATATTCAGTGTGATCATAAATGTAACAGAACAAAGTTGCTGTTGCCTTATAGCAAAGTGCTTGAATCAATTCTATGATCAAATGTTGGAGGAACTGAAATGTGCCAGTTTTGTGGTGAATCATTTATGACACTGAACTAATTCACAGTAATTCAGTATGTGGCAATTATATATTCTCACTGGAGTTCTATTTTTTTGTTTCCGTATTGTTTAAATAGGGAAGTAAATACTTTTGCACTTTTCTTTGACTCAAATTCATCTACATTCATAAATAGACAGAAAGTAATGTACTGACTTCCACATCACACATAGACTATGGCCCTGCCAAAGTGTAGAAAAAGTAATAACAGTAATAACTGTTGTTCCAGTCTTTAGATTCAGATATGGAAATGCAGAAAAATTATTCTCGTATCTTCAAAGGGTAATAGAGTTGACCAGCTTACTAATCAGCTAAACCCCCTCCACATTATATTACTATTTAATAAATGGCCTAGCAGCATAAGTACACTCAGGGTTTCAAGATGATTATGCTGAGATAAATACATACATAGGCTATTTATTTAATAATTATACTAGCAAAAAAACTTTGAACTTCTACATGTCAAGACAATTTTCCTGAAGAATTTAATCCAGTAGCTTTAGAGAGAGAGAATTTCTGAAAAGAAGCCACAAATCCACTAGAATTAATCCACAACATATTTTGGAAAATTTCATTTATCTTATGAAATAACATCAAAGTCATAGTTTTCATAAGGGTAATGAAAGATAATACATTTTATTTTTAAGCAATAAATTCCTGCACTGGACAGGATGTTGGACTAGGTCAATGTTTTTAAATCTTGACAACTTTAAGATGTGTGGATTTCAACTTCCAGAATTCTGCTGGCTGGGGAATTCTGGGAACTGAAGTCCACAGAACATATAATTGCCAAGTTTGAAAAACAGTGGACTAGATGAATTCCAAGGCCCCTTGCACTCAATAACTGCACATTGTACTTCTTAAAATTATTCATGCTACACATCACTATTTAGAAGCTGCCATACAAAATAAATATGTCACGTTTGACATAAAAGTGGTAAGTTTATGTTTTGTGACAGCTAATGGGTCAACATCATTCAATTAAGCTAAGGAGGGGTAAAATGAGAAGGAAAGAGTAAGGATCTAGTTAGGGGCTTTCAGGTGTTTCAACCACAATTCCAGCACTAAATTCATATACCAAGAAAGCATCAAACTAAAAGTAATTCCGAAGTAGAATATTAGCTGGCACTTTCAGTTAGGGTTGCCAGGTCTGCTTCCAAAAAATAGCGGACAAGTGGGGGGGGGGGTTAAGTAGTAAAAAAAGTAGACTGTACAGCTTTAGATTACGTACCATTTCATCATAAAGCTTTTGAATAAAAAAAATGTCCACTATTTTGTGAAAAAAAATAGTGAACATAATGTGAAAAAAGTGGACTGTCCGCTCAAATAGTGGACACCTGGCAACCCTACTTTCAGTTTGCTATTTATATATATATAATCATCCCTCCATATTAAGAAGCCAAATGAACTTCTGAGTTTCAAATGAATGCTTACTTCTAAGAAGGTGCCTCAATCTGTAATAATTGTGAGTACAAACTATTTCAGAAGTTGGGGATTGTTATCCAAACTTCTGGTGATAATGTTGCTACGAGACACTGCACCACAAAGTAGCCAGCCATATTTTAGCTTAGCATGTTGCTTGAAGTGTGTGGTTAGTTAATGGGGGGAAGTAAGAATTCCTAGCGTGATGTTAATTCAGTAAATTCAGGGGTGCGTATCTAGCCATTGGGTGCAAAGTTTTGATCTTGTGAGTGTGGATAAAGGAATTGTCTGCGACATCTACTTGCTTATGATCTATTTTCTAAAAAAGAACAGTCAAAATTCTTAATAATGATAAAAACGAAAAGGCGTTTCCAATTTCTTCTGGCTGCCTCTAGCATCCTATTCAGTTATATGCCTCTATTTCCCTTTCACGGGTGGCGACCTGAATTTCAAAGATTTCTTACAACCGAACACTCGCCAAGGGCCCCCAAATCGCAAAGCTCCTTCTCTCCGAGCAGATCCGATCCAGATGCCTCCGGTTGCACCAGCTCACGGGACTGCAGAGCCGCCGAGTCGGTTGCTAAGGATAACAGGAAGCGTTGCCACGGGATCAAACGAACAGTCCGGAGGGGCAGGATTTGATCTCGGTTTCCTCTCGGCTGATAGGAGCCTCCTTTTCCCAGAAGAAAAGGGGCGGGACTTACGAAGTCGCCGCCCACAATCGAACCAACGTTCTGCGGGTCGAATATGGGGATCTCTGTCTTATTTCTGGCTTGTTTGATTCTTCCTTAAACTAGAGCAGTGTTTCTCAACCTTGACAATTTTAAGGCATGTGGACTTCAACTCCCAGAATTCCACAGCCAGCAATGCTGGCTGTGGAATTCTGGGAGTTGAAGTCCACATGCCTTAAAATTGTCAAGGTTGAGAAACACTGAACTAGAGAGTTGGCGATCTCTTCCAGTGAGATTGTTAGAATAACGTACCCGTCTCCCAGCTTTTTTTTTTTTTTTACTCCGTATCCTTCAAGCTAACATTTACATGCATTTTACAATGCATTTTATAGCCAGTGTCATGGCACTTTCCCGTCCAATAATCCACCTTATAAACTAGATCCACTTTTACATTTTTTTTTTCCTATCGGAGTGGAAAGGGCAAGATAGATCCAAGATTGGCATGGCTGTTCTTTTTTTTGGGAAATGTGCTTAAATGTTGTGTCACACGAGTGACTGACCCACTGGTAAGTTGTCACATTCTAGATTTCACCATGCTTACATAAGGATTCAGCACACTTAACTGGCATATTTAGGTTGCCATATTTTTTTCCCCAACCTGGTCCCTCATATTGGCTGAGGATGATGGGAACTATGGGTGAGTGCATGTAGAGGACAGTTGGTTGAAGACCAGGCCTGTATGATGCAGTCTGCTGAAAGGATCCAAAATGCACATTTAACTTTGGCTCACTGAGACTTAATTTCTATGAATGAAATGATTGGCTAGTTAAATTCAGCAAGAACTTGACAGTTTCATGTCTGAGTTCCATCACATATAAATGCACTTATTATTCACAGTTTCTTCTTAAGTGAACGGAGCTTCTTTACTTCTTTTACCACTTAAGGGGTTGAGGGAAGTGAACAGAGCAGTTTCAATCAGATATGCAATGCAATTTAAAAAGGGCTACAAAAGAGGAAAAGAAATGGAAATTCTGAAAAAAAAAATCCTAGAAAGAGCATTTGGAAAATATAAAAGGCATAATTTTTGGCCAGATTGATAAGCTCTCCTTTAAGAAAATATTTTTATGTACTGTATTGAAATGTATAGGCAGCTTTAAATATTCCTTTTGAAAATAATGTAAATGACATCAGTGGCAATTTCTGAATCCCTGTGGGAATTTATATTTACCTTTTTTTAAAAAAAATGAAGCTGCATAATTATATTATGTAAAAGAGAGCAAGCATAAAAAAAAAAGCTTAATAACAAATTGGATCTTGGGAAGACAAAAATATGGATTAAACTGATGAAGCTTGTCCTGGCACTGTCTAAAAGCCATCTCAGGCACCAATCTGTCTTGGCATTTATGCAGTCAAGCCTTTTACACTCTGCTTAGATGCCAGCAGGGTATGTATGTCACCTGATGACTATTAATGAAGAAGAAACTAGAATCTCTTAACAGTTCCTGAGGATGAATAGCAATTACCTTTAATTAGGTTGGACTTGGTTCCACCTCCCTCTGTCTGTTTAGCAAAGCAGTGAGATGATAGCAGAGAAACCATTTCCTCTGCCTCCATTAATGGTTTTATACATAATAAAGCTTTCTAGCTCAGGATGGGGTTTAGCTCACTGGGACCACTTGCTGGCACTTCTAATTACACCAGAGGAGGTGTCAAGGTGCCCTTTCAATGTTCAGCCGCAATAGGAGGTGAAATGCAGAGAAACCAGCAAGAATGAGCTTTGGAAGTAGCAGTCACACAGTGCCAATTCACACACCTCTTAGAATCCAGAAAGTTTTTTTTTTAAAGTGAAAAATCAGCATTGGAATCTTGTATGAACAACTTTGTGGTGTGGCATATGGGTTTTAGTGGCGTGATATGGCTGCTGTTCTGCTGGTGTGGAACAGTTATTGGAGTGAGTAAAAAGAAAAAAAGCAGCTCAGTTCTGGTCTTGAAGGGCTGGTGTACTGTCACAAGACCTGATGAGCTGACCTGGCTGCAACAGGGACATTTTGAGACAGCAATTCCATTGGTCCTACCTGGTTTATGGGTGTTGGGAATTAGTGTAGGAGTGGTAGAACCTGTGGATGCAGTCAAAAGAGGAATCAGTTTAGACTCTTTACATAGTCCCAAATGGACTAAGTCCATTCTCTCTTAAATTCCATCAACCCTTATTTAGTGCCAAAATAATGCTAACTGTTATTTGAGTAGATTTCTGTTCATAGGTGTGAGTAGTAATAAAGCAGTTTAATTGGAACTTCATATGTGGTCTTTCACACCTGACAACTAGAGTCTAGTGGGCAATACCCCCTTCCTTAGATGCTGGGAGAGATGCTACCAGTTTGACTGGAAATTGGAGAAAGAAAAGAAGAGGAGAGAAAATGTTTGTGCACATGGTGAACAGAATGGCTAGAGAAGTTAAGTATGTGTAGCAGTTCCTGGTCCAAAAGGGTGAAGAAAGATCCAGGGGTGGCTTCCTTGGAAGAAGGGAAGAAGTGTAGACCCAGAGGCAGAAGAGCTCCACCCAAGACAGGAAGGAAGATATTGGTTTTGGTGGAGAAACCCTGGCCTTTGCTAATTTTGGGGCAACATATCTTCCCTGCCTGCCCAGGTGGGACAGGCTGATGTAATAGGATGAAGATAATCTGGCTTCATGACATGTAGTGCTTTAAAGGTCATAACTACTGGTAATATCTTGAATTGGACCCAGAAGCAGACCGACACCAAATGCAACTCATATAGCAGAGGAGTTATATGTGCCATTCTTTGGGTGCCCAAGATTGTTTGCATATTTTGTGCCAACTGAAGCTTCCAAATACTTTTCAAGGGTAGCCCCACATAGAGCACATTGCAGTAGTTCAAACAGGAAATGACTAGGGCATGAGTGATCAAATGGAGAGCCGCCCCATCCAGGAAAGGTCTTAATTGGTGCACAACACAAAGTTGAGCAAATTCATGATTATCACTTGCTCTTCAACCAAGAATTGTGAGTTTACAAGAACCCACAGATTATGTACTGGGTCTGTCTAGGGCAGTGCAACCCCATCCAAGACCAAAGATTATAAACTTCCAGATGCAAAGGGGTCCCTTACCCACAGCCACTCCAGGGTTCATTTGAAGTCTGTTGTCCTCCATCCTCCATGTCAACAGCATCACTTAGTTCACCCAGGATAGAGATGTATAACTGGGTACTATCAGCATTCTGGTGATACCTCATCCCATAGTGATGGATCATCTCACCCAGCAGTTTCATGTAGATGTTAAAAAGGATCAGAGAAAGCACCAAGCCCTATGGCACCCCACAAAGCAGGGACTGAGAGCTGGACTTCTCACTCCTTATCAACACCGAATGGGACCAACTTCAGATGAAGGAGGTGAACCAGCACAGAACTGTGACACCGATCCCCAGCTCCCTAAATGTTGGCTAAAATTATACCATGATTGATGGTATCAAAAGCCACTGAGAGGTCAAGAGCAAGGATAAATGGATTGCCACCCTTGTAAAGCAAGTCACCTCCAGTTTAAAAAGAAAAAAATAGAAAAGTACACCATCACTCTGTGACAAGTGGAATCCATCCCCCCAAAATGCTTACCAGATGATGAATCCCTTTGAAGGGTTTACTTATATATCAGTTTGGTTAAAGTACATGGTCTGAACAAACATGGCCATATCTTTCTTGCAACCTAAATTACATGCATACAAGTGGAAAGAGTTAAGAATATACAATATCTATTCCAGAACTACTATGGTTATTTCAGAGATATTTAGAGATAAGCTCCTCATTACCAGGCTTGAAAAAAATACTCTGATCAAAACGCTGATTTTTTAAAATGAAGTTTTAAACACATGCTCATCCAGTTTCATATTACTGAAAACCTGAGAAGATGGAGAAATGACTACAAGCTGACTTGAATATTAGGCACAGAACAAAAAAGCCTAGGATGGGAAGTGTTTAGAAGACATACTTAACAGAAACTGTCTGAAGAGAAATCATTACGGGTAATTAGCAGAGCTAAAATGAAAGAGTTTTCCAGAAGAAAAACACAACATGGATATGAGTTACAGTGTAATTAATATAGCTGCAATAATAATTGCCTCCATTTCCCCTCCATCCATTTCTACTCTAAAGAGTGGTGTTCAATATCCTCTACAAGTAGATATGCAGAGGAAGATGGTACCAAGATTTTCCTGTTAAGCATGGAGTTATTGCACTATAGTGGTTAGAAAGTTAGAGGAAGACTAAGAAGATCCAGATTGATGTTGGTAGCTATGATACCTACTGGCTGATCCTACATTCATCCCCTTCCTGTCCTGTCTCAATAATGCTCTTAATGAATTATCATAAATTTATTGCTATTAACAGTGGATTGCCAATCCTGATCTACATCCACTCACACTCCTGGAAAGCCCCTTCCATTCCAGCGTCCATCTATTTTATACACTGGATTTATAACAAAAGGAGAATTATACATTTTGGGGTTGTTTTATTCAGCCCTACCAAAATCTATCCTGTACCTATTCCCAAACAGAATGTCTGATTTGTCAGGTAAAATATACAGTCTTCTGTCTGGGATTGAATATTTATTCCAACAATGTAAAGGAAAAATAATTATCCAATTTACATTCCTACTATTATATTATTTCAAGGCAAAATATATGAAAGGATATTAATGCCTCTTTCAGTTCTGGTGTTTCAAGCTGATAGAGAAGTTAATATAGCCTATCAGATGTCTCAGTACCATGGGATCTTCTTGACTTAGGTGGGTGAACAGTTAGGGTAATATCTTGAATTTATTCTCTGTTGAAAAATGTAGCATTGCAATATATTCTTGAGGTTGTTTCTTTGTTGACT